TGCCAGGCAGGCGCTCTACCCCTTGAGCCACCCTCCTAGCCCTCAATTCCTTTATTGGAAATGTGTTCCCACTGTGTGTTTCTAGCTTGTGAATTTGAATAGTGTCTTTTATGAAATTGTTCTATTTTATCTAGCCTATCAAATGTGTGGACATAGAGTTGTTCATAGTATTCCTGTGTTAGTCTTTTAATGTTCATGGAATAAGTAATGACATATTTTTTTTTCTGTTATTAGTACTTTTTAATCCTTTGTCCGTTATTTTCTCATACCTGCCTATATGCTTATGGACTTTATTGATTTTTTTGGTTGTACTTATGTTTGAATTTCCAAGGAGGGTGGCCACATTGAAGTAGGTCATCAATCTGTTCAAACAGATTCTTTTTTATTTTTTTTTCTGTTTTCTTTTTTTGCCATACTGGGGTTTGAACTCAGGGTCTTGTGTTTGCACTTGAGCCATGCTCCAGTCCCTGTTTGAACTCAGAGCCTTCTTTCTGCTAGGCAAGTGCTCTGCCATTTGAACCGTGCCCCCAACCCATCTTGTCTAGGTGTTTTTCAGATAAGGTCTTATGGTTTTTGCTGGTCTGGTCTGAGACTGTGATCTTCCTACCTACAGCCTTGAAAGTAGCTGGATTGTGCCACCACCCCCAGCTTGACTAGCATTATCAGTGCCTTCAATATTGTGTCTGTCTCTCTTCATGGTCCAGTTTCATTCACCTCAACGAGGTAGTATGTGTAGTTCCATTAATGTGGTGGGTGTTGCTTGTGTGGCTGTGACTGGACTTCTTTTGTCACCTTGTAGCCATGAGAACATGTTTTTAGCAAATAGAAGGGGTAAACATCCTAGCCTTCTCAGTGAAGTGCAGACTTATCATGCAAAATAGAATTATATGTTCTTCTTACTTCATTCACATTGAAGCTTAAATCAATTCCTCATATATATTATAGGTTTTTATTTACATTTAATTGGTTCTTCATATCAGATCATAAGCTCCTTGAAGGAGCAAACTTTTATTCCTATTTTGTTTGTTTGTTTGTTTTGTTTTGTTTTTTTAAAAAAATAATGTTGAACTTGTTATGTAGTCCAGGTTGGCCTTTAACCCACAGTGCCCTTATCTCATGCTCTTCGGTGCTGGGATTACAACCATGTACCCCCAGGCCTTCTTTTACTTATACTTTATTCCCTAGGGATAAGTATGTGTTTGGATGCATGACATAAACTTTGTTATAATATTTTTAATACTATTTAGTACTTAATAAATTACTACAATGACAGTACATTTCTGGGACTCTCCTTTACCATATAGAGTACAAAACAAGCTGCATTTTTTGTAAAATACACATAAGGATCATTTCCCCCCCCACCCCACATATAGAAGCCAGAACTTCCATATTTCAAGGGCTGGTGAGTTGAGAAGAAATATGGCATTCTAGGAGTTGTCGTTTGAGAATGTGACTGTGGACTTTACCTGGGAGGAGTGGCGGGACCTGGATGATACTCAGATGACCCAGTACAGGGAGGTAATGCTGGAGACCTACGGCAGCCTCATGTCCCTGGGTGAGTGATACTGTCCTGTAGTCCCCAGGAGCTGCCCTGAGGAACAAGTGTTGTCTTCTTAGTAAATATATGAAATCTATTTAGGTGCACAATTCCAGCCCTTGAAGAACTCATTTGTTCACCCTATGTCATGAAAAGTTCACATGTGCCCTTCATTGGACAGTTCCAAAGCTGGGGTTTGTTTGCTTCAAAGAACCTGATTTATAATGGAGGGGATAAACCAATTCAGGATATACATATGTGTATAAGGAAGTGTCACAGGAAGACTCCCCATATAAACATCAAAAACAAAAAAATTTTCTTAAAAAAATTGAAGGACAGGAAGGAAAAACAAATGCAGGGCTTGATATGGAATAAGGAAAGGTTGAAGGATAGTGACTATGGTTTAAGTATTATGTACTCATGAATGAAAATGGAACAATGAGATCTATTGAAACTGTTCTAAGAATGGGGTGAGGGAGGATGATGGAAGGCGAATCTAACTAAAATATATTCTAAGGACTTTTTAATGTCACAATGTATCCCTGGTTCAACTATAATATGCTAATACATCAATAAAAGAAATAAGAAAAAGAAATTAAATAAAATTTTCAATGTAGCTCCTCAGTGAGAGTAGTCCTATTTCAAGTATTTGATAATCACTGTAGCTCACATCTCTCTTGCTGGCAGCACAGATGCAGAACACATCCATTATTTCTGAGAGGGATAGTGGGGGGAAAATTCTGACTTAATTGTTTGAGAAAATCTTATGTTGTTTCCCATGAACAGGACAAGGCATCAGCAAACCTTAGCTGATCTTCAAGTTCTAGCAAGGAGCAGAGTTGTGGATGAGAGAACCACCAAACCAGAGACCACGAGGTCTATCACTGCATACTGGATAGGGAGGCCATGAGAGTGGAGCCCACCAGATGTTGGCTGTGTTGTGCTGATTTCAAATCAGAATGCAAACCTGAGGACCGTGAGCTTGCACACATCAAAACTATGCATTACAGGCTCCAAGAAGGGCTCTCACACATATATTGTTACCTTTATCTCAATCTAAACCCTATTTTTCTTAGATATTTGTATTTATTATTTATTTTCTGTGTTCTTACTTCCCTCACCCTCCATTCTCAAGGACTTTTAAAATTTATTTTAATTAAAAAAATTTTCTTTTGTGGGACTGGGGTTTGATTCAGGATTTTGGGCTTAAAACAGGCAGTCACTTGCAAAGCAGGTGCTCTATCAGTTGAGGCTCACCTCCAAACATTTTAATGGGGTTATTTTGGAGGTGGAGCCCTGTGAACTATTTGTCTGGGGCTGGCTTCATATCAGTTGAGGCTCACCTCCAAACATTTTAATGGGGTTATTTTGGAGGTGGAGTCCTGTGAACTATTTGTCTGGGGCTGGCTTCAAACCAATATCTTCTTGATCTCATCCTCCTACTTAGCTATAATTACAAGAGTGAGCCTCTGCCACCTGGTTTAGAAATTTTTTTTGAGACAGACTCCTGATAGGTACCCTGGCTGGCCTTGAAGTCTCGATCTTCTTGCTTCTCCCTCCTTAGTGATAGTGCCTGCAACCATGCCTGGCTTCTCATGGGCTTGTATTGTCTGACATTTATTGAAAAATTATTTGTGCTTCAGCACATCTTACTGGAGCTGATTTTGAAGCACTGACAATTTTATAGTTGTATTGATGACAGAAAGTATCAAAAGTCTCTTTCGTTGAATTTATGTGTGTTGAGAGAAAAACAAGAAAATAATGTATTTTAAGTAGTCAAATAAGAACCATGAGTAATATTTAATCAATGTGAGAAAAAGAAACTTGATACGTGATCATTTAGGAAGGATGGTCAGAAAAGACAGATTAGGATGGAGTTTGTTTGTTTGAATTTGCTGTGGTGGGGTTTGAACCCAGGACCACAAATGTGCTGTTCAAGTTTTGTATCACTGGGCTACATTCATAGTGGGATTATCAAGTGTTTACCTGGGCATACTTTGAGGTTCAGTCCCTGTTTGCAAAATTTTACACATAACATGAGAATATGAAGATCAGCATTTGAGAGTCTGCATTACTCTTGAAAGCACAAATTTGGAAATTGGGAGCTTGAAGCTGTTATTTAAACTTATAGAGCAGTTCCCCTAGGGAGTTGGTAAGAAAATAAAAAACAGCCTTGTGTACCATGGTATCAGACACCATTAAAATAGAGGATGCAGCATATTGGTCTGCATTTGGGGAAGAGTCAGGACTAACCTGGTCCCAAGCACAAGTGAACCAAGGCTTTAAGGTTAAGAGCACAGATCTCTATTTGGGAGTGAAGTTTGAAGTTAGCATATCCATCTTCTCTAAGTGGATACCATTATAAACAAGAAAAAAGAGCAGAAATGTTCAGAAGACTCCATTTTCTATTAAAGTAGGAGAAAGCTGGCAGTCCAGTGCCCAAGATAACATCATTCAGGAGAAGTTGATTATCAAGCATGGGTGTCTATACCTGGAGTTGGAGGGAGAATGCTTGGGCTGTTGATCTCAGAAGGAGCCAAAAAATCACTTTAAAAAGATTGTGGGCATCAAAGGTGTGTGTCCAGGGTGGTGGGATGAAGAAAAAAGTTATGTTTCTGAAACATAGAGTCGGTGGCGTTAAATTAGGTCTTTGTAGAAATCTGTTTTATCTAGAATAGAAAGGAAGACATTTTATATTTGAAAAACTCCCTAGATGCATATGGTTATTCTCAGGAAAGAATAAAAGCTAAACAAATAGCTTTTATGAAAAACTCTGTCTCACATGGCAGTCCATCAGACTTCACTCGTATTCTTTAAGTTGCTGATCCTGAAATTTCTTGCACCCTTCAAAGTAGAATAATGAGAATAGCAGCAGGAGGCCCTGGTATTGTCAAAACAGGGGAGAAGCACTACATGGAAATCATGTTGTGCTGTAGGTGAATATTTTAACGAAATACTTCCTCATGGAAATAAAATGAAAGAAGCAAGGAAAAACAGTTCAGCAATGTAAAATGTATCACTTTTATTTATTACTTGAAGTCAGTAGGAAGAAAACTATTTACTTACAAGCCAATACCTGTTTGGTTTTTTTATGAAATTTTATGCCAGTAAGAGGGGAAGAACCTCCTTTATATACACAAGCACATTTCATAGAAATGCTTAAATGTGTTTCACATATATGGTTATTTTCTTTTTTCTCATTTTAGTTGAACACAAAGTAGATGTCATAATTGAGACCAGAAAGAATAGTCAAGATACACACTTGTGGCAAGCTGGAATAAGTACAAACAACACACCAACTAAGACGAGAGTTATGTTAGGACATGCCTTTCATTTGAGTTCCAACCATATTTCAAATTTCATTCTAAACAATGCAGGCCCTTTAAAAGTGAAGTCCAAGTAGTTGAATGTACGTTAGTACACACATTTCCCTAGTAGGCCTGAGGGGATGTATTCCGGTGAGAAACCCTGTAAGTGTAATCAGTATGGGAAATTCTTTGTCCAGCAGTCACAACTCACCAAGCATGAGAGAATTCACACTGAGGAGAAGCCCTATCAGTGTTGTCAGTGTGGAAAATCCTTTAACCAGAATACAACCTTCAATAAACATGAGATAATTCACATTGGGGAAAGCCCTATCATTGTAATCAGTGTGGAAAAACCTTTGGCTGGAAGTCATACCTCACCATGCATGAGATAATTCACACTGGGGAGAAGCCCTATCAGTGTAATCAATGTGGAAAAACCTTTGGTTGGAAGTCACACCTCACTATTCATGAGGTAATTCACACTGGGGAGAAGTCCTACAAATGTAACAAATGTGGAAAAACTTTTTGCCAGAAGTCACAACTCATGCAGCATGAGGAGGAAGCACTATCAGTGTAATCAATGTCAAAAAGCCTTTGGTTTGAAGTCACACCTAAGCAAACATGAGAGAATTCATACTGGGGAGAAGCCCTATTAGTGTAATCAATGTGAAAAAACCTTTGGCTGGATGCCACACCTAAACAGGCATCAGACGACTCATAAGAGGATACTTTTGAAGGTAGAGGAGCTTTCTCAGACATGAAACCTCAGGAAACATCAGAGAATTTACATGGTGGGAAAATCCTGAATGGCAAAGACTAGCTATATATCCTCCAAAACCCATTTGCTTTCCTTTGTGGTATGGTAAGCTCTTCTCTGCCTTCACTTCCTATAGCCAACAGTTCACAGCTCTCTGTGGAGATACGGACACACTTGGTTAACATTACTTCCAGGCCTGAAATGTAACAATGACCTTGCAGTCCTCCCAGACTTGGGATGAGAGTCATAGTTGTCTTTAATCACTGTGATTTAAGACAGAAATGAAGAGAACAGAGGGCTTTCCACCATTGGTCCAGTGCCCTCCATTTGTTACATGTGAGGAATAAACACCTACCCTGTTCAGCCATTTTATGTGTGGTCTGTGCATTTCAGCACCCACAGCCACTGTTGCTTACTCACTTTATGAATATGAGAGGTGTTCCTGAGAGACTTGACCAGTTCAAGTTTATCATAAAATTCATACAGAAAAGAAACCTGTGTTGTCATCTTTCAACTCCAAGTCAAGTTTTGGGAAAATGAAAGAAATATGGGAGCTGGAAGCAGTGGCTCATGCTTGTAATCCCAGCAATTTGGGAGGATTGTAGTTGAAGGCCATCCTTGGCAAAGAGTTAGCAAGACCCTATCTAAACTAATAAGCCCAGGTGTTGCCACAGGTGTACCCAGCTGTAACTCTAGTTCCATGATTGGCATCAGTAGACTGATTATGTTCCAGCCCTCACTGGGCAAAAACTGAGACACTATGGGACAAATATCTTTAAAAAAAGAAAGGCTTGGGATTTGCAAGTGGTAAAGGTCAACCTACCATGCTTGAGATCCTGAGTTCACACAAATTCTTTCTATAACACCCACTGATTTGAAATTTGTCTCCATCCTGTTTTAGAGGATTATTTGGGGTGGCTATTACTTTCTTCTACCCAACATTTCTTCCTCACAGTATTTTAGTCACAAGCCACCAATGGCTTGTTACCATAATATAATGCTGCACATACAGGCTTCATAGCAGTTCTTGTGCCCAGGGTGGGAGTAAGTGTCCCTTGGCCCTGAAACCTTGGTAATCACTGAGCCTGGAGCAATCCACATCATCAGGAGTCTTTGTTTATAGTGTACAGAGAAGATGTGAGCAGTGTGTCCTGGAGGCTAAAAGGTCCAGGTATTGTGAACATCCCTGAGGTCCAGCCCACGTGATTGATGGAAGACCACAGTATTTTTTTTTCAGTGTGTGGGTTTGTTTCTTTCACTCCCAATCTGTACAGGTGGGTCATTTCTGTTTGTGAGTTCTTCCTTCACTGCATTTTCCCTGTGTCCGACCTCTTCTTTTTTAATATCTTAAAATTATGTAGGTTTACCTTTCTTTAGTATTTTGTAGAGTGAATCTTTTCTTCTTCATGATCATTGATAATGACCCATAATTTCACTTATAACCTGTGTTGACTTCCACCCCACATCCACAGCCTTTTCTGAATTCCAATTGGACTTGCATTGATCTTAGATCTCAGTGCATATCTCTTTGCAAAGGATCACTTCATCCAGTTAGCATGGCTTTTCCTGGGAGACCAGACTCAAATACAGTAATGGTGGTTCTGTCTACAATTGATAAGGCCCCAATTCCCATCCTAGGACAGATGTTAAAGTCATGCTTTTGCCACCTCCATCACTGCTCACTGGGGACTCCCCACACTCTGTTTATAGTCCCTGATATGTCCCAAATGCTGACCTCAAAGTACAGACTTTAAATAGCATTATGAGTACACATATAAGGGAAAGAAAAACCTAGGTGTATCACAAGGAAGGTTAAAAAACAAAAATAAGATATTAAAATATCTATCCTTATTCTAGACACACTTGGCTTTAAATCCAAAAACATTTTTTTAGAGCTTTTCCCAAATCTATAAAGGAGTGGTAAAAGATTCCACCCATCAGGCACCTACAACAATTCTAAGTTTGTGCACACCTTCCATCACAGGTTTAGTATGTATAATATGAACTTAAAGGAGAAGGCAACTCCACTCAGCAGTGTTAACAGTCCATGTGTGCTACACTTTCATGTACTTCTACATCATATTGCATTTCAATCAAAAAGTAAATCCTATGATCTCCTCAGAAATAACTGTGTCTGTAGAAAGTAAAGCATTGGCTTTGAGGAGCACATGGGAGGAGGAGATAGAAATACCCAGTCTGGATAGCTCTGGCAGAGTATTTGGCTTATTGCATTTTGTTGTTTTTGATTGTGTTTTTCCTTTTTGTTAGTGCACCCTTTATTGTGATGGGTATTTTGAGGTGGGGTCTTGTGATGTATTTGTCCAGGCTGGCTTCGAAACATGGTCCTACTGATCTCTGCCTCCTGAGTAGCTAAGATTACAGGTGTGAGCCACTGGTGCCGAGCCTCTGGCAGAGTATTTTCAGAATAAAATAAAATAAATCATGAGAATTTGCAGAATGTTCAGCAGCCAGGGAGCAGTTTTTCAACACTATAAGCGAATCATCACTGATTCTTTCATCACCCAAATAGAAAATCTGTTTGCATAAAGTGCTAACTCCTCATTTCCCTCTCCACCAGCTCCTAGTAACCACTACTGTGTATCTATGGATTCTGTTTCTCATAAATAGAATAATAATCCACAAGGTTTGTACACTTCTTGCACCTATTAGTACTCCATTCCTGCTTATGGGTGAGTAGTACTCAAATATGTGGTGCTGGCATGCAGTGCTGAATAGTACTAATAATCCTTTTTATTTCTGCAATGTTGATAGCAATTTTCCCACTTCAGTTTCAAATTTACTACACTCCTCTACTTTTCTTCTTTGCTAGTCTAGCTAAAGATTTGTCAAGTTTGTTAGTTTTTGTCAATGATCCAATGTATCCTTTTACTGATTTTTCTCTTGCCTTTCTATTCTGTACTTCATTAATCTCTGTCATAATTTTTGTTGTTTCCTTCTGGTAGCTTTAGGTTTAGAGTTCATTTTGGTGAGATTAGATCATGCTTCTTACTTGACACAGGTGGTGGAGAGCTATAAGTTTGCCTCAGAGCAGTGCTTTTGATTTCTCTGTGTGAGTAAATTTTGGTACATTGTGGTTTTTTTTTTTCATTGTCCCTAGGTTTCTTTTTTCCTCTGTGATCTTTTTTGATCCCCTTGTTGTTTAAGAGTGTGTTATTTACTTGCACATATTATTAAAATATGTCAATTTCCAGTTTCCTTCTGCTGTTGATTTCTGGTTTTATTTCATTACATTTAAAAAAATGCCCACTATGATTTCATTCTTTTTACATGTATTAAGAATCATTGCCTAACACAAGATCTGTTCCTGTAGAATGTTCTATGAACACTTGAAGAGAACGTGTATTTTGCTGGGGTTGATTTCAGTATTCTGTATATTCTGCATGGCCTGATTGGGTCAAGTTCTCTGTTTCCACATGGATCTTGGATAGGATGTGTTAAAGTATTTATTATATCTAGTTTTGCTTCCTGTATTTCAGGATTATTCACATATTTGGGAATATTTTGATAAACATTGCTATGTATTGAGAATTTTATCAATATATACTGATATTTCTTGCTACCTTTTAGATGTAAAATGTACCTTGCCTGATAATATCTCATTATTGAAATATACTGTTTTCAAAGAGGAAGTTTTTTCTATCCTTCAATTTTTGTGTATATTGGTATTCAAAGTGAGTCTCTCTGAATACAGCCTCTATAGTTCATGGTTTTTAAATCCATTCTGCCAGTCTCTGCCTTTTAACTGGACAGTTTAACCCATTTGTATTTATAGGAATTCCTGAGAGGGAAGTCTAACTCCTGCCATTTAGGTATTTGTTCTCTGTATGTCTTTTTTTTCCCCTGTTGTACTGGGATTTGAAATCAGAGGTTTGTGTTTGCAAAGCAAGCACTCTACTGCTTGAGCCACACTTCCAGTGAAATTTTTTCTGGTTGTTTTGGAGATGGGGCCTCCTGAATTGTTTGCTTTGGCTGTTCTCAAACTCTGATCCTCCCTATCTCAGCTTCCCAAGAAGCAAGATGACAGATGTGAGCCACCATTATCTGGCTTACTATCATTATTTCTTTCAATTCCTGAATCATCATTTCTATGGATTTAATTGAGTTTTAAGTGCTGAGGATTTTACCCTAGGACCTCATGCAAGCTAGGCAAGGGCTGCACATCACAAGGAGCTACATCACAATGCTTTCAGCTGAGCTTTTGTATTGTATCATTTTGAGTCCCTTTTTCTTTCCTTCTCTGTATTCCTTTCAGTATTTTTTTCTTGGTTGTCTTTGGGATTACAATGAATGTCTTAAACTCATAGCAACCTAGGTGTAATAGTATCCATTTAGTTTCAGTGGTATGAAAATACTATGTGCTTGTACAGCTCCATTCCTTCCCTTTATATATTGTACATAACAGATGATATCTGTATATAGAGTGTTCCACTTAACATGGATTTGTCACTCATTTGATAAATTTAACTTTACAATCATACATAAAGAGAAGAGTGATAAAGTTAAAGTGCAGTAGCACTGGCCCAATGTTCTTCATTTGGCTTTGGGCTACTGTCTGTGCATTTTCATTTCAGCCTGAAGAGCTTCCTTGTGCATTTATGGTAAGGCCCATCAACTGCTAAGAAACTCCCTTCCTTCTTGTATACCTGTGAATGTCTCCATTTCTCCTTCATCCTGAAAGGATGTTTTGTTTTCTCCTTTCACTGCCTCCTGGACTGCCATGTTTTCTGAAAAGAGATTAGATCCTCCTTTTATTGAGGATAACTTAAAGGGTTTTGGAAGAAGCTTGGTTATAAAAGCAAGCTCTCTGCTACTCAGATGCTATGAGGTGAGGAGTTTGTTCCACTACATGTTCCCCGCCATAATGTTCTTCCTCACCACAGGTCAAAAATCAATGGTGTCAGCTGACTATGGACTTAAACCTCTGAAATGGTGATCCTAAATCATCTTCCCTCCTTGTTAGTTGATGATGTTGGGTATATTGTC